GTCCATAGGCAATAACAGACTAGAAGAAAAGTTAAATAACACCACGACGAAGCAATACCTAAGTTGAGAATATGGAAATTTTTACATATTGAATGACCTGGTCTTAACAAATAGATGTTACTAAAAGAGAAAAGGGCAGACAATATATTAAAAGTCTTAAGAACCGTATCAACCTGGGCCTTCGACTAGCCTGGTGGTGAAGACGCTGAACTGGGGCTGAAACCAGGGTCAGCCATGTGGGAGTCCAGCACCTTAACCACCACGCCACCCCCCAGCCCCATTTCATTTGATTTATTTTTAAAATGTTAAGCCAGGCATGGTGATACATACATCTCTGAAGAAATACACCACGTTCATGAACCGGGGTGGGGTGGGGGGGTCTCAGTATCCTTCCCAATGAATCTATAAATTTAATGTAATTTTATTAAAAGATCTAAAAGAGTCTAAAGTCTTACCTGTTAGAGGCTAAGCACTTAAATCGAGATGCCATGATGTCTGAGGCCAGCGGATGGGTGGTGGTCAAGGTGAATGGATCCCGCGTGGGATGACAATGTGTTCAAATCCTAGACCTGGGGCTTGAGACATTCACCAAGCACAGGTACCTGCACCCCCACAGCCCCAAAAGGAGAGCTGGAGAGGAACTGTGGCCCGACTCCGTAGGGGTGCCTTCCCTCTTTCTCTGTCCCCCTCTGGTGAGTGCATGTGCCCTCTAGCAAATTTTTTTTTAAAAGCTATGTTGTCTGGGATTTGTATCAATCTATTTTGAGAAAATGTGGTAAAATAAATACATCAGTTTTTGCCACACGTTGATAATTGTTGAATCTGGACAATAAGAAAGTTTATTGTATAATTTGTTTGATTTTTTTATGTATTTGAAAGTTTCTACAATAACAGTTTAAAAATGTAAATTACAAAAATAATGGGGGGGTGGTCTTGCATAATCCTCCTGCCTTAACCTCCTGGTCTGCTGGGATTGCAAATCTGTGTCACCATGCTTAGCTTAACGTGTTAAAAATAAATAAAATGAGGGACCAGCAGTTAGCGTAGAGTCCAGTCACTGGACTCCCATGTGGTTGACCACGGTTCAAGTTCCGGACCCAGTGGCTTAAACTCACACCGGGCGCGTGTGCATGCGTGCCCAAGATCCCTAGAGAAGAATGGAGGAGAAGGGATTGCAGCGTGGCCATCCCCCCTGGGGGTGATTTCTCGCTTTCTGTCTCTCTGTCTCTCTCTGTCTGTCTGGAGAGCCCACATGCCCTATAGCTAAAACCTGTCAATAAATAAATAAATAAATGAAATGAAATGAAATATTATCTCCAACAGAAGTTTTTTTAAAAAGAAAAAAGAATTGAATTCAAACTTGGTGAGAAAAAAAGAATTTGTTGCTTTCCATAAGTGAAAAGATCTACAGCTTCAAGTATGGCTGGATCCAGGATCTTGGATGGTGTCCTTAGGGGTTTGGCTTGCTCTGTTTCTTAGCCTTACTGTCTGCTAGTCTGGTTCTGTGTTCAGGCAGTCTTGCTTCAGATGATGAGATGACTACCAGCATCTTTAGACTTCTGTCCTATAATCCTTAGACTCCTGTCACTCAGCAGAAAGCACCATTTAAAGCCCTGAAATTAAGTTGCAGGTTGCATGCCTGTTGGCATAGCATTGGTCACCAGCTCTAACCTCTTGATTGGGTGCTTTCTATTAACTGTGTTTTTGAGTGTTTTTCTTTTTGTTTTTGGTTTTTGTCATAGGGTAAGTGCGCTTACTGCAGAGAGACAAAGAGAGACAGAGCGAAGGAAAGTGAGAAGTCATCACCCAAGGGAGATGGCCATGCCACAATCCCTCTCTTTTACTTTCCTCTTGGGATTTCGAGCACGTATGCACACGTGTCTGCTGTGATTTTCCAGCCGCCAGGTCCAAGACTCAAACCACAGTTGGCCATGTGGGAATCCAGCACCTTAATCACCAGCCACCCGCTAGCCTCTTTTTTTTTTTTTTTTTTTTTAAGAATTATTTATTTAATTTTGTTTATCACCATTATTTTTTAAATTTGCGACAGGGCACATGCACTCACCAGAGAGACACAGAGGGAAAGTGAGGAAGCAAGCCACCAGGTCCAGGACTCGAACCATGGTCGTCATTTGGGAATCCAGCACCTCAATCAGCACACCACGTACTGCCCCCCCTTTTTTGTTTTCTATTTATTTATTTATTTCTCCCATGAGTGAGAGAGACAGAGATAGCACCATTAACTGGATTTGGATGCCGCAATCCACTCCTAGCTCCAGCCAGTCCTGGATCATGAGCACACAGGTGCCCAGTCTACTTGGCGAGGTCTCCCGCTGTGAATCTGCACCATTCCCCATGCAGATCAGCCTTGCAGAACGTCATATATATTTTTTAATTTGCCAGAGGCTGTGTACGCTCGTCGGGGAACAGGAGAGAGAGAGAGAGAGAGAGTGAGAAAGCGCCCCTCATGGGGCATGGGAACACTGCCATCCCTTCTCCTCCACTGCTCCCTCCATTTGAGTGTGCACAAACACATACCTGGTATGTTTCTCAAGCCTCTGGATCCAGGACTGAACCATGTACTCGGCCATGTGGGATCCTGTCATCTTTTTATTTTTAAAAAAGAATTATTTATTTAATTTTAATTATTAATTCAATATTTTCCATTTGACCAGAGAAAGACACACAGAGAGAAGGAAAGTGAGAAAGCAAGCCACCAGATCCGAGACTCAAACCATGATCGGCCATGTGGGAGTGTCCAGTGCCCTAACCAGCACGCCACCTGCTGGCCCCAGGGATCCTGTCATCTTAATCAGCACACCACCAACTGGCCTATAACATTTTACACTACGTCAAGGGGTACGTTTAAATAGTCTCTTTAAAAAACAAAACCTTTTCCCAAAAGTTTATGCATTCATCTCTTCCAAGAACAGGTAAACAGAGACAGCAGCCCCAGCTGGGTCCTGATGCCGCCATCTAGCCCAGCCTTCAGTCAGCTCCAGAGCACAGGTAGGTGCCTGCTGGCATACTCAGGGAGGTCTCCGGACTTGAACCAGTCAGTCAAGCAGCAGGCCCTTGGGTACGATATAACCCATAGGGCTGTTTTTCTTTCATTCGTGACAGAGCGTACATGTGTGTGCACAAACGGGACACACAGACAGAGAGAAGTCCCTCGGCAGGGTCTGGACATACCACAGTTCCCTTCTCCAGCCCTCCAGCTCGCCAGGATCTTGGGCATGCACAAGGGTGACCAGGATCTTCGCCCTCATGTGGCCATGTGGATTCCAGCACTCTGCAGTCCAGCATGCTACTGACTGCCACCACAGTTGGGCACAGTTGGGCTAACCCTTAGGCTTTAAAACATTAAAAAATATAGGTAGATAGACGCCATAAACATATGTGTGTGTGTGTGTGTGTGTGTGTATATATATATATATGTATATATATATATATCTCCCATCTCTCCAGCAAGGGCACACGCCCTATAGAAAAATTGCTGAAAAATAAAATAAATAAATAAATAAATAAAAGGCTGTGTATGCTCGTCAGGGAGCAGGGGAGAGGAGAGAGAGAAAGTGAGGAAGCACCCCTCATGGGACACGGGAACACTGCAATCCCTTCTCCTCCACTTCTCCACTTTTATATATATATTAAAAAATATATATAGGATGTGTGTGCTTGCCAGAGAGAAAGGCAGACAGAGAGAGGGAGAGAAAGTGAAAAGTCACCCCCCCGCCCCGTGGGGGATGGTCATACGGCAATCCTGTGTTTTCCATTCTCCTCTCAGGACTTGGGGCATGCACACACATGCACCTGGCATGATTTCCTGGCCACTGAGTCTGGGACTCCAACCGGTCAGTCAGCCACATGACTGGCATCCAGAGCCTTAGCTTCCATGTCGCCTGCTGGCCCTGCGAACCCTTAGGTTTTTAGAATTGGATACTCTGTAGAATATTTCCACATGTGTTGACTCATTTGAACTTTATAACATTGTGAGGCCATTAGGATAAATCTTTTCTTTTTTTTAAGAACTATTTTATTGAACTTTAATTAACTAATTAATTAATTTTAATTTGACCAGAGAGGGACAGAGTGAGAGAGAGAGAGAAGGAAAGCAAGAATGTAAGCTGCTGGGACTCGAACTGCGGTCAGCCATGTGGGAGTCCAGCACTCTTAACCCCCACACCACCTGCTGGCCACAATCTTTTTTATTCCCCATTAACAGAGGAGGAAACTAAGGTTTAGAAAGGTTAGGGCACTTGCTCAAGGTCACCCAGTCAATTAGTGGTGGAGGAAGGCTTTGAACTTGCCTTTTCTTGAACTTCAAATCCCTGGGCCTTTGCTTGGGCTAACCCTCAGTCTACAAGGACTCTCTAGCCAAGCTTACTGGCTCTTTCTCATCCTTTCAGGTCTAGCGTGAATACTTTGTAAACAAGGACAAAGATAAGAGCTAACATTTATTAAGCACCTGCTTCTCTTCCAATGAAGTTTTCTTAAGGCTTTGCTTGGGCTATTTTAGGTAGTCTCTCATAATCCTATGGGATAGGTATGACCCTGTGACCCAGGGAGAAACTGAGGCTAGGAATGGTTCCAGTACCCCTCACGAGTCACGCAGTAGGTGTGACATCCAGGAGCCTCGCTCATAAAACCACCCGATTCTAGAAGCATCCTTTCTGGCCGGCTGTGCAGTTACCTCCAGGTTGTCCTCCGAATCCAAGCATGGGAGCAAACCTGTCCTTGCTCGCCCCAGAGTCCCAGTCGGAGTGTGCTGAGCACCCTGAGATCCGTTGCGACTCCTTTCTCCTCCACCAGGCCAGAGCACTTTAGGGCAGCCCTCACCCTTTCCCCTCTTGGCCCTTGCAGGAGGCAGGAACAGCGTGGGGCCGAAGTATTCCATTTGTTCCTTGCAATCCGGTGAAGCCCGAAGGCATGGGTACTCTGAGCGAGGACATGGGACCCAGAGGGGCCAGGAGACGCCTACAGCCGCCCATTAAGTACACTTAGGAGCCGGGACGAGAACCCAGGTCCCCTCGGGGCCGTCCTTTCTCCTCGCCCTGGCTTCCTTCCTTCCCGTCTGCGGGAGGAGCCGGCAGCGCAGCCTGGCTGAAGTGGGCACCGACCCGCGGGCCCGGGGCGCTGTCGCGAATCCCAGGGAAAGGCCGGGAGCAGGCTGGGGGCGGACGGAGCGGGGACGGAGGAACAGGGTATTTTTGCATTTTGACATTAGAAGAGAAGCTGCAGATTTGCCTCAGAGCGGGGCCGGCAGGCAGCATCTGTTTTGCTGTGGAACTGGCAGCGGAGGGAGGCGAGCGCTGCGGCGGGCTGGGTCCCGCACGGAGGTGGCGGCCGCCTCCGAGGAGGGCAGGGCTACCCCTTTAAGAGCTCCGCCCCAAAGGGGCGCTGCCAGCCCGAAGGAGGCGGGCGCTCGGCTGCCTCTCACTCATTGTGCTTGCC